AAAAAAAAAAAAAAGACACTTCTGAACACCTACACCCATAGGATAAACCAGGTGTATGAGGCCTTCCACGGTCTGTTCCCAAACACATTCTCTCCCTAACCAGACCCAACTGCTTGAACACCCCAAATGCAATGTCCTTGTTCAAGACGGTCCTTCTACCTGGGAAGTCCCTTTTGCACATCCACACCCCATTTGTCAAACAGACATCTTCCTACCTATCCTCACTGCCCCCGAGGCAGTTAATTGTCTTTCTGCTTCTCAAATGCCTGATTCTGTTTTAGCTTATATCACCATATGTTTTACAGGAATATAAATAATAAAATGTGTCTGTTTTTTTAGTAATTTTAAAAATTATTTAAAATTTTTTCTAATTCAAAAATCATTCTCATTGAAAATAAGATTAGCCTCGGGGACAAGTTGCTTTACCCTGAAAACAAAGAGCAAACAAGTCAACTCTCTTCTGTATATGGAGTTAATCCTCGATGCTGTAAAAATCTCAACTCCTGTGGCTTCAGCTGCCATCCCTCCACTGATGTCTCTGAGGCTCCTTTCTGCAGCTCCAGGCTGTCTTCCGAACCAAAGACCTAATATCCAGTTCATTCCTGGGCACCTCCACCTGCATACTCCCCCGGCATGTTGAACCCAAACTGAGTTCCTTATTTCCCCTTGCCCCTCCCCAATCACTCCTGTGTTCCATGCCTTGGGAGACAATGTCATAAGTAAAAAATTAGAAAACTATGAGTTATCTTTGACATTTTCCACTCCCCCATTCCTCACAACCTGTCTCCTAAATAACCAACTTTACGTATTAATTATACGTGATATTATATAGACTGCTATAATACATATAATGTATTATGTATGTGAGTATTATGTATTATATATACTATGGTTCTACATAGCATAGAGCTTCAATGCGTAAATACTATTTAGGAGACTGGGTGTGTTATATATATAGTTATAAATATATATAATATATGACCATAGATAACAAAGTGACATATGACAATTATGTCTTCATCATATTCCTTCTTTCCATCCTTCCTGTCCCTGCAAGTACCTCCTCACCTCTCCCTTAGATTATTGCAATATCTTCAGGACTCAGTGAAGGACTCAACCCCTTCAAATCTATCCTCAAGCCACTGCTTCAGTCATCTTTCCAAATCCCCAATTTGACCATGTCATCTTCATGCTTAAAAGCCTTTGATGGCCCCTCACGGTTTATATGTTAAAGTTGAGGTTCTTTAGCAGGTCGTACAGGGCTTATCTCAGTGTAGCTCATTCTTCAGCCTTATCTCCCCTCTGCTGGGAAAAAAAGGTTAATAGGGAAGATTTACTTCAAATAGTGTGGCCAAGGGCAGAATTCTGCGAGGAGGGGACATCTAGCCCTTTGAGGACTCGCCGCTTAATAAGCGCTTTCTATGCCTTTGTGACACTCACTGGGTGACCACGTGCCTGCCGGATGCCAGGCCAGTGCCAAGTTTTTAACCTGGAGCTATATCTTGGTCTTCCAGGCTCACCGCAGCTTGTGTGGGTTCTCTGGCCGCTGTGGCTCTGTGCTGGTGCGTCTCATCCCCGCCCTAAGATCCTTCCTATCAGTCTTGAGCCATCCTCAAGCACTGAGCCCACTCAGTCTAACCTAAGGTAAATATCTTCCTTACCTTCCAGAAAGTTGAGAGAATAGACAAGGGTATATAGGAAAATACCGTTGGTATTTAATAATGCTGTTGAATACATGAACCCTGAAGTGACATGCAGAGATAGGAACTTGTTTTTGAAACATTTATCCCCTTGCTGGCATCTTAAGACTGCTGATGCTGTAGAATCAATAGAGTACCATGTAAATTCTACTTGACTAGAGGAAACTTAAGAGTAAAACATCTCTTATCTGTCTCTCTAACTGCTAAGCAAGGATGTCAGTGACTATCCAATGGCTGACACATAGTGAGCACGCAGATATTTGTTGAATGTCATGCTGGTGAGCTCTGGAGGGATAAGAGAATCGCCAGTAAAACCAGACTGGAACGCCTGCTGGTATTACACTGCGATCTCGGATAGATTCGTCTTGTTCCTCTTCCTGTTCCTTAAGGGCTTCTGCACCCCCGGTAAACATGGGTTATGCTTGGCTGAATGCCTCATGGATACGAATGGAGCAGAGAAGGTTTGGCAGGATGGAAAAGTACGACCAGGCTTCCTGGGAATGTCCATAGAGTGACTCTTACCCAGTTTCAGGAATTCCTTTTAACCTTGTTGCTCCTTATCTGATAGGGAAAGGGTCAGGGAACCTTTGGCTCCAAAAGCCAGGTGCATAGATTGGCTCACACAAATACCTTGCTCACAGGCTCTTTGACTCACTCCTGCTTTTTCTTTTTCCGACCTGGTTTCCTTCACTACCATATCGTTTGAAGCCATTACTGTTTCTCACTTTGGACCCAGAGTATAAGCCCTAGTCTGGGGTATAGTTCCAGGATCCCTGGAGGGGAGTAAATTTCTTAGCACAGTAGGTCCTAACAGACGGCAGTGTATAGAAAGGTATCAACTAATAAGAACAATCTGCTAACATTGATTGAGTGCCTACCATGTGCTCCGTACTTTCTTTACGTGCACTCTTTGACTCCTCACAATAACCAATGAGGAACAAGTAGTAGTATCCATATTTTATAGATGAAGAAGCTAATATTCACAGAGATTAACTGGTAGTAAGTGACAGAGAGCCAGGATTGGCATTCTTGTTTGACCAGCTTTACAAAACTCATACCCTTTCTGTTATTCTGCCTTTCTTTCTTTATTGTAAACCCTTTGCGAGTTGTTTATCAAAGGCAGTCTGGTTAGGATTGCAGCCATCCGAGCTCGTGAGGCCCTATGAGATATATACAGCTAATTAGGCATTGGAATTTTTGGCTAACATCCGTCCCTTTCCCGGACAGGAAGCAGAACAAGCCATCCAGTGTCTCAATGGCAAGCTGGCTCTGTCTAAGAAGCTGGTGGTGCGGTGGGCGCATGCGCAAGTAAAGGTATGTCTCATGGGCTGGAAAGACAACATCAAGCTCACCCGAGATGAGTTTTCCAGAAGATAGTTGTCCACTTACCCATTTGCATCCCAGCCTCTTCACATCTGGAGCAGCCGTACTTTGGTCTCCTACTTCTATTTACCATGTGTGTTGCCAGATTTTTCTTTTGAGAAACATCTCAGGAGGGATTAAGTTCCTTCATTGTTTCTCTCCACATACCCACAGATTCTGTTTTTGATTGATTTTTCCATGTGGCTGATGTGTATACTCAGACCTCTATCGTGTTTTTGGTGGGGGTTGTTCTTTGGAGGAGAAAATGTATTTATTTTTAAAATTAGTTGCTTTAGGCATTATTAGACTCTTCCCAGCCTCTCAGTTCTGTGGAGAGTTTGAATATGTTTATCCTAAACACTTGAGAAATGGGTAGTTTGTATGAGTGCTTAAAGCACCAGCATCTCATTACTCTAGACAGTTTGAGAGTTATTTGTGGGACTTTGCCCTGTTTGTATTGTCTCCAAAGCCCGAGAACTGGCCAGTCGCCTTGTTCATCTTATAGCTGGTCTCTTGGGAGACTGCACTGGAAAAGATATGACCATGTAAAAAAAAAAAAAGAGAGAGAGAATGGCATCTGTTTTACCTGGCACAAAGGTGCGGAAGTTTGTGGACTGGAGCAATCCCAAGAGTTTATTCTCTTCCTTCGTGGTGGGGTCTTGACAGACCTGCCTATGAAAAGATCTGTGACAGTTAAATTTGGAGCTTTGGTCTTTAGCTATAGGAGCATGGCTTTTGATCAGAGACTCCCTACCCATAAAGCTTCCCAGTAAACAGTCAGCAATTAAACACTTGAGCTCAGAGTCCAAACTGAAAAACAGAGCTCAGACACTTTGGGTCCTGAGGATCTCAGGTCATCACGGAGCCTTCTCAATTTCTAGGACACATTGCCTTAAAAATAGAAACAACAGAGAATTACCAAATGCTTTTTTACTCAAAGGAAAATCAAGTCTCATTTGCCAAACTGGCTGTTGTTTTCTCATTCTGTGTCTCATTGAAAAGACACGCAAGAGAAATCATCCTTCATTCCTGTCTTTCATTTGAGAATCTCGATGCCTTGTAGTTCTCTTCTCCTACAAGTCTTTTTGACCACAGACTCCTGATTACTCTTTAGTATTTAATTTACTTTTTGTAAGAGGTGTATAATTATCTGACATCAAATTAAACTACCCTTTTGCTATAGGATGTTTGCTCTATCAGTGGCTGAAAGCTGTTACTACTTTTCTTCTCCAGTCAGGCCTGTTGAGAGTGGAATGTTATGCTTGGTACTTTGCAAAACTCTAGCAAAATTTTTAAGTGTTTTGAATAAAGCAAAGTAAATATTGTAAGAGGTGATATGTGACAGTTAAAACAAGAGTGTAGGAGGGCAATCGTATTGTATATTTATACCATCTGTGAATTTGAAAGTTGAAGTTCTTTCCCTACCAAATAAGGAGGACTAGTGGCTAGATGGGAAGCTTCTTCTAAACTTCTTTTTCTAAATTTATTGCTTTTAGGCCAAAACCGTGTGGAGTTTTGCCTTAATTCCAAATGTAAAGCAGTCCTCAGATTGTCTAGAAATACACCAATGATACGCTGGTGGGGTTGGAGTTTCTGAACTTACGCACTACAGTCAAGGACTGGTTTTTGCTCACCCAAGTGATTTCCCTTTTTCTTTCAGAGATATGATCATAACAAGAATGATAAGATCCTTCCTATCAGTCTTGAGCCATCCTCAAGCACTGAGCCCACTCAGTCTAACCTAAGGTAAGACGGTGTACTGTAGAAAGACACAAGTATTCCCCAAGAGCGTGAGGCACTTCTTCATTCCAAGCCTTCATTCATACTTCAGTGAATCTTTAGACTCTTAATTTAGGATAGAATCTACTGACTTTTGACATGTTGAGAGATGTGTTCAGTTAATCTCCAGCATGTGTACATACCCTCTGCTGGCATACCCCTAAGATCCTGTACTTACAGAATTCATGCACTCAAAAAAGGCTGGCTGGACCTGCCACATAGCAGCCAGTGTGCTGGGCCCTGAAATCCAAAGGTATGTCAGACAGTCCTTACCCTAAAAAGAAGCATTTTCGTGAGACCTGAAGTCTCATTGGCGTTTGTCATCGTCCACTACCTCCCCCGCACCGTGAGTTCCTTTATACAGAGTGTCATCGGTCTATAGCACCTTCATTCTCTGTGCTGCGTTTCTGTGGCAGCAGCAACTGTTGGTTCTAGTGTGCGCAAATCGTCAGTTACTTCTTCGGAGTTAATTCGAAACAGAAGGAACGAAGGGCTGGGTGGAGAAAGGGGAAGTTAAGTGGATGGTTGAGCAGAAGTAGAGGGTTTTGGGGTTTTGTTTTGTTTTGTTTTTTCCCCTGCGTTGTAGCCTAGGGAGAAATTTTAACAATAACAATAGCCAAGATTTATTGAGGTTACTCTAAATCAGGCACTGTGCTAAACACTTCACATGCCATATGTCATTTGATTATAAAAATTCTGGTAAAAGCACTGTACTGGGCATCTTACCTCCGAGGAAACTGACGCTTAGCAAGGTAAACTATCTTGGCCAAGACCACCAGGTAGCAAACAGCAGATTCCAGATTCAAAGCTAGGCCTCCTGGACTTCAAAATTCAGTCTCTGAGTTACTACTTCAAAGAAATTTAATGCTGTGAATGCAGGGATACAGTTCCGAAGCCTGTTCCAGGGGAGGGAAAGCAGCTATGTGACGGACATCAGTGTCCTATAAGGGTTAGAAATCAGCGTGCAATCACAGAGTCAGGAAAACGATGCCTATGTGGATGGAGGACCGGACAGCAAGCAAACCACCTTTCTGGTGTATTTTCTGCACCAGACAAAACACCAAACATAACAGATCTCACTAAGCTGTAGGGGAAGGTGACCCTGAAATGTTTTCAGGAGCAATAAGGTTAGCAAAGTAAAATTAATTTTATAGTTAGTAGTTTAATATCGTTGACTTATTGTTTTGTAATACTTACTGAAATATTTGATTTAATATTTGGTAAGTTAAACTGTATATATTACAAATAAAATTTAATAAATTTAATATTTATGGTAAATATTAAATGTAATAGTTAATATCATTGATCTCTTAATTATGTGCTCTTTGAATATTTTCTGCTCCCAGAAATTAAAAAGAAATATATGATGACTTCTGTAGGTTCACTGGGAACCATATCCACTCTGCTGTTTTCCCCATAAAGTTTGAACCTCCGGGATCACAAAATTTTATAAATCCGATTCCTGTTGGGAAGAGACCACTGCATTTATGCTTGGTCCTCTACACATTACAATGACGTGTCTTTAGTTTTCTTTTCAATGTTTGCACTTATCCTAGACAGTCTGGTGTTTTCCATTTATTTTGTAATCCAGAGAACCTCAGCTTACATCTTTCTATTAACGTCTATACCTAATTAGAGAAAGTTGTCATTTCGTGTCCCCTGCAGAACAATGGCTGGCTGTCCCGTTAATGGAGGAGGTGCCGGAATGCATCTTGGTAATACCTCGGTGTTCTTTTTAATTGTAACTTAGGTGGTTAATTCTACACGGGCCATGTATAGTTAGTTATGAATATGTGCAGCAGATGCACACTTTTTGAGGTTTCTCTAAAAGGCCATTGTAACATTCCCTTCCAAGTTTCTCTCCCTCTATGTAGACCACTGACAGCATCGAGAATGGACAGGGGACCATGGGTCCTAGAATACCCACTGCCTGAGGGCTTCGCCTTCTGGTCCAGGGATGGCAGTGACCTCGGTCGGAAGGGAATTCCTCCCAACTTGTGCAGTGTCTCCTCACCCCTTCTCTCTAATACAGGGCTGCTCAGCTCCCAGCCTGGTGGAGAGAAAAGAGCAAGGGCTTTGGTGATAATACACCGGGCTTGAATCCTGGCTGTGGTGTTAGCTGTGTGAACCCTGGGCAAATGACTACCTCTCTGCATTTGTTTCTTTATCTGTAAAATGTGGATATTATCACAAGGATTAGAAACAATATAGGTAAAATTCTGGGCCCAGTGCCTGGCTCATTGTAAGCACTCCATAAATGATCGCATTTAGAAACACCTGTTTATTAGTAAAAAAAGATTTTGTAGGATTTCCAGGGTGTGTTTTCCATTATTACTCAGTGATTCAAAAAGTGGCACAGTGTAGTCGTTAATAGAATGGGGTCTGCAGTCTGATTGTGTTTCAATCTCAACTCTCCCACTTACTAGCTGTGTGATACTGGGCAAGTTAACCTTACTGTGCCTTGGTTGTTTCATCTGCAAAATGAGTGTGACCTACCTTATAATGTTGTTTTCAATCCTACGTGAATTATTTTTTCCAATTTTTTTTTATTGTGGCAAAAGACACATAAAATAGCATTTACCGTCTTATCCATCTTAGGTGTACAGTTTACTGGTACCAAATACGTTCATAATGTTGTACAGCCATTAACACCATCCACCTCCATAATTCTTTTTATCTTGCAGAACTGAAACTGTATACCCATTAAATACTAACTTCCCGGGGCGCCTGGGTGGCCCAGTCGTTGGGCGTCTGCCTTCGGCTCAGGTCGTGATCCCGGGGTCCTGGGATCGAGCCCCGCATCGGGCTGCCTGCTCCGCGGAGAGCCTGCTTCTCCCTCTCCCACT